CTTTATATTTATCATTTTGTATCATTTTAGTGATAAGCCAGACCGTGCTCTCTCTTGCGCCGTCCTGTTTTTGTTTAGGATCCTCCTGGGTTCCTTGCAAATGGTTCTTGTTCCTGGGTCGTGCGGGGGTTGCGTTCATTGAACGCGGCCTTTCCTTGTTCATCTTGTTTATCATATTTTATACTTGTATACCGAACCGAACCATAACAAACAGATTAATGATTGTCAATACAAGGTTCGACAAGCAAGCAAAGAAATGTAAAGAAAACAGAAAAAACTTATCCACATATCCGCCCTCCAAAAAAAAAAAAAACACCAAAAAAACGCCTGAAACTGCAAAACCGAAACATAAATACACATGGGTGCCAAAGACGGCTCTGGTAGGTACATGTGCTCCCTTGCGCCGGTTTCAACAGTATTCATCACTTAAACATAATAATGTAGAAATTTTAATCAACACCCACAGATGTGTACAAAATACGGCGGTAATCATGGAACTTTTCAATGCAACACATTCGAGGTACCGTTCAATGAAAAGCGGGAACTAGATAATATGGAATTTTAAATGGATATAGGTTATTGGTGTCATTTTGCGACAGTCATTCTAACAGACGACTACAGTAATCTAATCAGACTATTTCTCCCATGTCTGTCTTACATTGTTATGCTATTCTACGTCTTAAATAAGGGTCACTAAATTTCCGCTTGCTGCGTTTTTATCATAAACCCGTCATATCTGTTCGACAATTGCATTTTACTGAGGACTGGTCTGAAAATCCCATTTTATAGTTTGAAATTTTAAGATTTTTTTTACTCAGAATTTAAAGTTATTTTTGGTTGTTTTGAACTTCTTCCCCTACACAACTGTCCTCAATTTTTTTTTAGATAATAAACTAGAAAAATTGATAGTGAGTTTAATATAAATTGAAATTCTTCTTTGCTTCATCATGTATAGTATACTTATTAATTCATTAAGATGTACTACAATTACACTGTATTTTTCATATGTGCGAAATCATGGCAGGGTTATAAAATAAAAAGGCAGTTCAGAAATTTTACCTAATGATCACAGATGTTAAAAAAGCCGACATTACAATTTCTAATTTGACAATTTAAATGGGACTTTTAAAATGCAGTATGATCTGACGTCGGACATCTAAGTAAGGTTATCAGAATATCCTTTTCACATTTTATTTTTAATGCTGAAATATTCTTGTGTGAAAAAAAGTTATTCCTGCATAATTCATAATAAATAACTTAAACAAATTTTATATTATAAAGCTTTGACAAATACAATCGATTGCCTCCGATACCTGTGTTACACCATGGACATTTTACAATTTTACCCTGTTTTACCCTTGTCACCGCTTGCGTCATTTTCCAATATGGCCGCTTACAATAATTTTCAACGATTTAAAAAGTTTAAAGTGGAATATTTTAGACTTGTGTTCGACTTTAAAGTATGATAACTTGGAACCTTGCATAAAAAACGGTTCTCTTTCAGGTAATGTAGACCGTTTCTTTGAAACTTTTTTAGTTTTCGCTCCCAACAACTTCTAATTGGGAAGCGTCCGTGCATAAAAATGCAGTTCGTGGTTGGACTTGGAAAAAGACAGCGCCCGTCCAAAATTATCTCGGTGTCTCTTTGACAAGTCTAATTAGTTGGACTACAGTAAGAGTGACACCTAATTAAGAACAAAAAAATATTACGTGATATTTCTAATTTTCTATAATTATTTTACCGTTTAAGGTGGAAAAACTTGAATGATGTGTTTGAAAATTATCAATGTTTCTTTAATATGTATCTCAAATTTACAAACAATAAATTGTTTATACTGAAAATCTACAAAATTAAAATATTCGTAGAGGCATCTGCCCATAATAATAAATAGAGATATTTTCTGCGTAAATTGTGTGTTTACTTTTTTTTGCTCGGAATTTATTCATAAAAAGGTAGGCCTATTTAATCATTTTCTTAAAAAGAAATAATTGTTTTATGTTCGACCTCTCCGGTCATCAACGGTCACCAGTTTCCAAATACCTTCTTCTATGTTGATCGATGATTGTCAACTATATTCCTGATACAAAACGTTTACTTATTTCCCCCCAAACAATGTTGAAAATAGTTAAATGAAATATCTTTATATCATTAAAAATGTTCCCGCAGGAAACCATTTGCTTGTATGATATCTGTATTACTGACTGTATTGACCAACCTATTTACTTTAGCGCTGGTCTTAAAAAAGCACAATTTACAAATAGTATTGGAAACAAAGTACGTGACAGTACTGTAAGCTGAGCTGTTGGGCTGTTGGTACTACTTGTAGCCCCCCCCCTCCCCGCGGATATCTTTAAGCATACTAGACAGTACCCACCCATGTTAAAATCATTCATAGGTCTCTGCAAAATAAAGGACGGCCATCACCAAAATTAATGTCAGCAAACAGTTAACATTAAATAAAAGAAAATGACCTGCGACCCTCCCTCCTCTTTCTTTTATATATGTTTTATATATGCTAAATAGTTGTCGTTTGAATTAATTTTTCTAGAATTTTATGGAACACCCACGGAATAGCGGACAGTGCAGACCATGATCTATATTTCTTATAGGTATTTGAGTCGAAACACGAGGCTATCTCTTCACTCTACTTGCCCCCCCCCCCCCCCCCCCCCCCCCCCCCCCCCCTCCCCCCCCCCCCCCCCCCCCGCCCCCCCCCCCCCCAGCCCCCCCCCCCCCCCCCCCCCCCCGAGTATTCATCAGACTGTCGAGCGCCCCTGAAAGCACTGCTGGGGTAGTTATCGCATTATGTGCTGGGGGCGCATTATGTAAATCCTACAGTTCTTGATTGTATAGTGATTTATTGTTACAAGCAGATGCCATTCCAACTTTCAAAACAGAAGTCACATTTTTACTCGATTATTCGATAAGAATAAGTAGAATTATCCTAGCCATCTGAACGTCGGCGTCTATCACCTCAAATATTTCCAAAGTCCATTGACATATGGCATTGAAACTTTGCACACTTGATCCCGATCAGGCACCCATATGTTAAAGATTGCCTATGACTTCAAGATATTTTCGTATTCCATAGACATCTGGCTTTGAAATAAATTGAAATTTTATACATTTCTTTGCGAGCATACTAGCTAGGACTCTCTCCAATGCTTATATCTGTAGAATGGGTTTAAAATTTGTTTGGTCCTTTTGTAAACTTACAATATTTTAAATATCCAAGGTTCTTCTATTGTCAAGCACTAAGCATATAGTTGAGTGTGCTGTCCTACCAACAGCTATTGTTTGCATACCTTGTGAAATATAACTCCTTCAAACTTTTGTTCAGTTATTATTATACTAACACAAGAACTGTCTGAGGACAGTAAGGCTCGACTATTCGAAAAAGTTGTCACAAGGCGAGTATAATAATGCTTACCTATGAATACATAAAATGGACCGAAAAGGTACAGACTTGTTATTATGATGCTTTATCAAGTAAATCACTGCTTTATTATCATGAATGCATAAACTTGTCCCAAAAAGGCACAAACCCTTCAGTAGTTATGGAGATAACATGTTTACAAGCAAAACTTTACCATTAATTTCTAAGTTGAAAAAAGGGGAGAAAAATCAGCCTAAATGCTAGATAAAATTTATGGATCTTGGTCAGTAACCTACATGTACAATTATTACCCTAAATGCATGTGAAGTTTTAATATTGTAGGCAGAGTTATCTAAATTGTCAATCTGATGTACATTGTTACTATTATAATAACTATTGTAAGTTTCAATTGAATATCTCAAGCAATATTTGACTTTACAAAAAACTTTAACCAACGCAGACGCGGACGCCGGTTGACTGCAATAGCTTTCATATTCTTCAAATAGTCGAGCTAAAAAACAACAAAGTCATGGTTGAGACCATATAGTTATTCCATATATAAATATATATGTATATATCATGGAAAACATTTCAAGATACGACAATGGATTGTAGTGTATAACACGAAAATCAGTGTACTTTAACTGTATTTATTCCAATGATCATACAATCATCTGTAAATAACTGGAACAAAATATTTCCTAAATAAAACCATGCAAAAAAACCAGAAACTGATGATGACAGAACGGGGTATCACTATATGCTTATACACTTTTTATGCTCAAGTGATTTTTATTTCAAAGAGCTACATGTGAAATTGCTTTCAAATATACATAGGTAACAACTATTTCAAAGCTGCATGCATTCATATTAATATATTTAAAAAAAATTCAAACTTGATAAAATAAAAAAAAAATTCAAGGATAGCCGAAACTTGTTAATTATAAAAAAATATATATACAGAATATTATGTGTAGTAGCTTTCGAAGGCTTTGTATTTTGCCACGAGCAGCCTCAGAAAGCTACTACAACATAATTTTTCCTTTTATTATATATACCTTTTCGTTTGAAGTATAAATGATTTTCATTATACTACACTTATATAAGAAATTTCAGGAAATGAAATGTAGCTGTCAAGAAATAAATTAATGACTGACAGAATAATATGTAATTTGTGCAAAACTGGCCACACCTTTTATTATTTTGGTTGCCGTTTCCAAATTCTACTTTATAAACAACTAAGATCAGAACCAACGTCAAAAATAGTCCAGCACTTTCATATATGGTACTGTATTTGCCACTAACATGATACAGAATTTTCTAACCCTTGAAGCCTATTTGCTTTGCGTGTGTTTCAGGAAGAAAATTTATAGGTATACAATAAATGCTGTCATTGACATTTCTTATGTTTATATTTATTATATGTATTTCTTGCAATCCTACTTATAGCTACAAATTCTATGAATTAAAATAGAAAATGAAAGTAGCATGCAGACGGTGTTGATATTGTGTGATAAAACTTTAAAGATCATTGGAAATCATCCGAGGAACCAAATACTCGATCGGAAAAATGACTGAGTACTCGAGTATTGATTTTAGTATTTGTTTCCATCCCTAAAAAATTCACTCCGAGCTGTATTATTTAAAATGGGTGTTCAATCACATTGAAAACATTGATAAGTCATCTCATGTTCTTGTCTCAATATAGTTAACACTGCAATCTATCTTCCCTCATTACTGCTACTATGACTGTATCTGTCGAACAAGCATCTCTGTTTTCTGAAAAATAGTTTTAAAAAAGTTTATTGCTGACCAAGATATTCCATAGTTGTAAGTTAACCTTTCTTCAACATTGTTCTGTTAGAATTACTCTGATTTATAAAAGTATATAACCGAAAAATGCGTGACCAATGCCAGAGCTCAACCCCTCTGTGCATTATTTCACAAACGAGCATCTGAGTAGAACCACCGCCTTTTTTTAAGCTAGCTGGATTGCTTTCTCACATTAAAGAATCCATATTAAATATAATAAAACATTGATAATTGCTACACAGTCTCTTTGTAAACATAAAATAAGCATGTTTTGTGTTTACATAAAGTAGCTATGTAATGTTAAAACACAACATGCTATAGGTGGTCACAATATAAAATATAGTATTGTTAGGAAACTGACAGTTTTTTTTAAGAAAGGACCAAATTTTTTTGTCCCGTAAGAAGGAACATGGCTTCCAATGCATAGTCAATTCATTATTTCATTCAACTTAGACATATTCAAAAAAATTGCATAATAATTCAAATAAATTTTCATGATTAAAATATTTACTGATAAGCATAGTATATCTTTAAAGGTAAGTGATTTAGGTACATTACTTTGACTATGGACACCCAAATTAAATCTATTTATTTGCTTAGTAACACAACTTTTCAAAGTCATATAAATTTGTAAGTGATTCAAATTGCGAGTGATTCTGATAATCTGCTATGATTAGATTTTAGACTGCTTACTACATGAAGTCAATATTTCAATGTCAAATGCCTTGAGGTGAAAGGAATGAAAACTTGAATTTCAAAATACAATTTAAGTGAAAAACATGTCACAAATGTTTTTGCTATTGACTTTTGTTCCTAAATTAACAAGCAATTATCATAGTATTGCAAGCAATCCATAAGTCCCCTACCGGTTAGAACCCCAGCAACATTCTGATTTCAATTTTACCAGTGAATAAATGACACGAATGAACTTAAATCTTTTGAGTTCTAAGTTTGTCTATTTCACAGTAATGTCCTAGTAAGGAATTTATGTTTATACAACCTTGTCATATTATTATGATGTGGGATTTTAAAGTAAATCCTATAAGGAATGAAGTTGGAGTAAAAAGTACCAATTTCTCGGAAAAAATCTAAGTTCAAGAGAACATAATTCTGGAAATAGTCTTGCTAGAGTATTTTACCTTCTCAGAAATGTTAAGTGATAATAAGAAACATATATATGAAGTTTGAAGTAGATACATTAGGAAATAAAGAAGTTGTTTAAAAAAGACGTTTTTTTTTTCATAAAAAATCTAAGTTCAAGGGAGGTAATTCTGATAATTTTTTGTGCTAGAGTTGTAAACCTTGTCACATATGATGTGGTTGATGACCAAAAACTTATATTTAAAGTTTGAAGTAAACACCTTAAGAAATACAGAACTTATAGTGAAAAGCTGAAAAATTTAAATCAGAAATCTTGAAATTCAGGCTATTTGTTGCCATAGCAACCAGAATTTTTACCATAGGAAGAAAAGAAAAAGATGTGCATAATCTGCAGACTGCCATCTATCCATATTTCAAGTTTCATAAAAATATTTTCAGTACTTTTTGAGTTATCACTGTATCCAGTTTATGTGTTAAATTTGCCATATTTTCAGACTATTTGTTGCCATAGCAACCAGAATTTTCAACATGGGAAGAAAAGAAAAAGACGTGCACAATCTCCATACTGCCATCTATCCATATATCAAGTTTCATAAAAATATTTTCAGTACTTTTTGCGTTATCACGGGATCCAGTTTTGTGGAAGGACAGACAGACAGACCTAAAGTCCCCTCCAGTTAAACCGGTAGGGGACAACAACAGATTGCATAATGAAATGATATTGAAATAATTAATATACATTTGGCTCTTAGTGACAAGCTTACTGATTTTAAATAAGCCTTGAGTCCTGTGTTGGCCTTTAAACATGTCAAACATTTAGAAAGTATTTATTAAGAAAAAGTGTATACATATAATCATGTACCTCTTCATTATATGCCCATGACATTGAAAAAACATTGTGTCATCTGTTTACTTCAAGGTTAGTCACATTGACAGTATCACATGTTAGACTTTACCTCTTTGATACAATTCATAGAAGCATTCTCAAAATGGGTCCACTTAATTTCACACTCATCAATCTGACAAGAACCTCCTGAAAAAGAAAAGTTAGAAACATATGCCACTAATTATGTCAGTTAATGTCAAATAAATACTTTGAGAAACTATTTGGTCAAAATTGTAAATGTACAAAGATTTTCAAACCAATTATATATATAAACAATGAACATTTCCTTTTAAGCTTTCTAACATATATAATGTATGGTCTTACTTGAAGAAAATGTTTGCCCGGAACTGAATACTACCAATTTACCATCTTTTTGGTACCACTGAAAATAGATAGTAAAGGCCTTAATCTTTTCATTCTAAAATAACAGTTAAATAACATCTTAAGAAATTATGACTAATAAGCATGTTAAATGAGCAGAGGCAGGTGTAAAAAATTTTTTGAGTCATTCCAATCAGAACTTATGTAGAAATGACTGACCAATACAGTTAATTCATATGTACTATTGAGCAAATGTTATTTACACAATTTATGGAAATTGTAACTCATTATGAATTCATTATTTATCACTCCACTTAGTGTGAAATAATTTAAGCTAAAGGCTTGCATTCAAGTATGATATAAAATGTATAAAGGTTTATGGTCAGAATAATAAGATTCTAGTGTACCAAATTTTTGCACTTTATTCATAGGCAAGCCGCAATAAATATGATCAAGAAGAAATATTCAATTCCCTAAAGATTGTACCTTTTTACTTGCTTTCTCAATCCATGATATAATGGCATACTCACAACATATATGCTAAATACTAATATACATATAGTTCCAAGATAAATATATACAGTTCAAAGATATATATGTTCAGTTCCAAGAAAAATATATTCAGTTCCAAGATATATTTGTTCAACTCCAAGATAAGTTCAATTCCATGTATGTTCAATGCCAAGATTTATTTGTTCAACTCCAAGATAAGTTCAATTCCATGTATGTTCAATTCAAAGATATATTTGTTCAACTCCAAGACAAGTTCAATTCCATGTATGTTCAATTCCAAGATTTATTTGTTCAACTCCAAGACAAGTTCAATTCCATGTATGTTCAATTCCAAGATTTATTTGTTCAACTCCAAGATAAGTTCAATTCCATGTATGTTCAATTCCAATGTTTCTTTTAAATTTAATTAATTGGCAAAATGAAAAAAAAATCTTACAAAAAAAAGGAAAAAAAAAAAAAAAAACAACTACACTTAAATTTGTAAATCTTTGTTATATTCTTGCTGTCCAGCATTAAATAAGTATGAAAAGTGTATTTTGTGTAAATGTATACACAGCAAGATCAAAAAGTTGTTTATAATTTTAAATATATGCTTTAAGACAATTAAATACTAAATACCATATTAATACTTGTTTATTTACCTGTACAAAGTAGCAGTAAACTGATTTCAATGACACCGACTGTCTTAACCATAAGCTTTCACACAGGTCTACACATCTGAAAAAAAATGCATATCATTATTCATAAATCACATTATTTTTTATTCCACTACAAAAATCAACATGTTAAAAAAATATTGAATTGTCCTTGATATATATTGTGTTTTATTCTCTTTTGTTTCATGCAGTGTGGGACATTTGACCATGCATTATTTATGTTATATATATTCCAAACACTTACCTATGCAGTTCACAGATTTCAAGAATTCTTGGCAAACAAATGACCTTGTCACAATCAAAATCTCACTGTCAAGTCTGTAATCACATACCTGTAATGAACGTGTTAAATGTTAAACATGATTTAAACTTTCTCACTGTCAAATAAGACTGACAATACATGTCCAACTTATTGATTTCTAGTATATAGCCTTAGGTTTTTTCCTCTTTCTTTTTATAACTTATACTAACAATTGGTGAATTCAGAGTTTTGTCCCGACAAGAGAAGGGAACAGACGGATGTTTGACCGAAAAAGGGATAAAGGGCCATTACTATTGTTTTCCCTTTTGTTTATTAGAGGGCCATGGCCCCATATTATATTGTTATGGAATGAATTCTATTGTTCTCTTTTGTTCTGCTACAGTAAGATGGATATATATATATACATGTGTCAATGTCAGAAAAAAGCTAACATTTATTTACCTGAAGTGAAAAATGGCCTGTATAATTATGTTTCACAGCTTCTCAGCAAACAACCAACTGTGCCACAATTAAAATGTTACATCACACACCTGAAATAAATCCTTAACTAATTAATACAATATTTCTTTTAATTTATTACATACTTCAATGAAATATTAAGAAATATTGATAAAGTAAAATCCTAATTTTCATTTCCTGTATTTTCAATGTAAATATTCATTTTTCATTGCATATTTTCACAAGTGTCTTCTAAATGTAGCCTATGCACAATAGGAACAGACGGATGTGCGACCGAAAAGGGATAAAGGGCCATTACTATTGTTTTTCCTTTTGTTTATTAGAGGGCCATGGCCCCATATTATATTGTTATGGAATGAATTCTATTGTTCTCTTTTGTTCTGCTACAGTAAGATGGATATATATATATACATGTGTCAATGTCAGAAAAAAGCTAACATTTATTTACCTGAAGTGAAAAATGGCCTGTATAATTATGTTTCACAGCTTCTCAGCAAACAACCAACTGTGCCACAATTAAAATGTTACATCACACACCTGAAATAAATCCTTAACTAATTAATACAATATTTCTTTTAATTTATTACATACTTCAATGAAATATTAAGAAATATTGATAAAGTAAAATGTTCATTTTCATTTCCTGTATTTTCAATGTAAATATTCATTTCTCATTGCATATTTTCACAAGTGTCTCCTAAATTTAGCCTATACACAATAGACTGTAAAGAATCATAGGGCAATTTCTTTATAATTTGAAGTATTTATAGTTGAAACAGTCCTTTTTTAAGGCATATATATGGGTAATGGAATGTTGCACATCCAGATATGATTGACTAACAATTGTAAAGTGAGTAATAATTGTCGGAATACATGTAGCTCAATCAGTAGAGAACATAGCTCAAGGCTACCAGATTTTAAAAAAGTTTTTATTAATTTTTTTCTGACATGTCCGGAACAACTTGAAATTTAAATGTGTTTTTCGTTTGATTGATTTTTGTTACCTATCTTACTTTTTCATTGAAGTATCTTTATCTTCTTCATGCCCAAATCTCATTTCTTTCTCTTTTTTTTAACATCTTTTCATGAATTTATGAATATTTTTTACAGATTTTAAAAGAATCAAAATACAACATTGTTAAGCATATATAACTGTTGTCAGGAAATAAGTTATGTTTCATCAAAAATAAACTTGAATAGAAATAGTTTGGAACCCACTAACTGAATTCACTTTTATATCAATATTATGCAGTCTGAAACTTACTTCACTACTAAGTCAAATGATTTATTATCTCATACAATGCAATTACATGTAGTATAAGTTTTATGGTAATAATGTGGTTAATCACTTGCAGTTAATCAAGGCTCGACAAATCCACTTGTCCGCTCATAAATACGAGTAAAAAATGACTCCGGACAAGTTAATCTCCCAGAAATGCCCGTCCTGCAGGACGCATAAATTAATCAAATTTCAATTCAATTCTTATGAAACCTTTTTTCAAGTTTCACTAGTAAAACAGAGCACAAAATAATTCCCGTGTGTTTGATGGGCAAAACTGATGTTGATTTGTTGAATGCAACGCTTAATTCTGTCTGATTTTATTTTGTAAAAACTTACTAAAAGCCCGTGCGGCGATTCCAGTATGTTCCACAAAATATTTCAAAATGTCACAATGCAATATTTGGCAAATGTTTGGCCAGAAAGGAGTAAGTTAAACAGTGTCTTCAAAAAAGTAAAATGAGTCAGAACATGTAAGAAATCTATATTTTTTAAGCATTGTTGTTGTTGTTTTTTGTTTTTCAATCAATGATATATTATTTGTAGTATTTGTACTATTATCTATCCTATTTGTAAAAGAACAGCATTTTTCCCTTCTATAACTATTTCCGTTCCCAAAAAAAAGACAGCAAATTTTCAAATTTCTTATTTTTAAATTCCAAAAATTACTGTCAAAATTCCCATCCAAAATTGGCATATATAAAAACAAGAACAGTAATGGATGATTTCATAATGATAAGTGATATGTGATAAAAACCAAGTATAACTACATCTGACAGAGCAATATTTGTACCTAGTTCATTATATATTTCTGAACATTATTTAAATACATGTACTCATTTTTTTCACTCCAATAGGAAAATAAATCGAGGCTTGACCGCAAGACTGCAGTAACTTATATGAAATAAAGAAGGACTTACAACAGTTTTGCAGTCAACCCTAGAAATATATTATGCATGGTTTAACTTTAAATGTGTATAAATATTATGCATAATTCTCATGTCTCCCTGGATAAAATTAAAAATTAACCATGTGGCATGAATACCTGTCAGTTATGACTACTGTTTAGATGTTATCCGGAACTTAAGCAAATGTCAGGGTTTTTCCATGCTAATCCCCCAGTGTATATATAATTATAACCTTATAGCTTCATGGTGCACTACTGACCACAATTGATTAAACCTGTTGTGCTTATCATCAAACTGTAACTGAAAAATTTTGTTTAAAAATATTCTTTATTCTAGAGTAAGTCTATTTGACATACATACATTACTTAAGATTACATCTATATTGGCCATAGAAAATAAGTATAGTTAAGGTTTTACTTATGTTGTTCAAAATTCAAATCAATATTTGGTAACCCATGTTTGACATTTAACCTGGTAGGTCATATTCCACTTCTTAAGTTGAACCTTATCTTAGAAAGTCTGACCCAATTGGTTGTCAGACTATTCTCTCCCTTACCAGTTCCTTCCTGTCTGCCCCCATCCCCCTATTGTGGGGGAAAACTGTCTGCATATACATGTAGATGTTTAAAGCAGTGCGAAAATCAGAGACTAGCAGGAAAACCCGATAATCACTGAATCGTGCAAAGGATTGTGGGTCTGAATCTGACTGTCATCGATTTTCGGAACTTCATATCAGTTGTTTGTATAGAGCTGGGGTGAGTAACCAGAAGCTTTCGTTAAAATCACGCTAACGAAAGCGTTAGCGATCGCGTAACGAACACGTTAGTTATTTTTACGATTGCTTTTGTTACATAACCAGAAAGCATCGTTACCATATCGTTAATCAGTCGTTAGTAAAATCCCTTAACGGAATCGTTGTGTAATCGTTAAGGGTATACACAGCATTTTGGCACCACCTGTTATTAGCTTTTCCTGCATAGATTACATTGCTGTTTATAAATTGTTTATAAATTGTTTATAAATGTTTGCACAAATGTACAACCATATATCTGTGAACGCACAACTGCTTCAAAGAAAAAGTTGACACTCTTTATGAATATTTTTGTTTGTTTGTATGTTTGTTTGTTCGTTCGTTTGTTTGTTCGTTCGTTCGTATGTATGTATGAATGTATGTATGTATGTATGTATGTATGTATGTATGTATGTATGTATGTATGTATGTATGTATGTATGTATGTATGTATGTATGTATGTATGTATGTATGTATGTATGTATGTATGTATGTATGTATGTACAGAATAGAACAGAACAGAACATTTTTTATTTTGATATGCATAAACAAGACAATTTAAATACAAATTTTCAATGAATTAAAATAAACTTTGAAGATAATGTCACGTTACATTTTAATGACGTCATTTATAGTACGTGCACGGGTAATTATACTAGAACGTTATTTCAAATAACAAAAAAAATGATATTATAATGTTGATGATAAACTGTTTAAAACGTAATTAAATATACATGTTTATATCACAGATATATCATCAGAAAATATCTGCAATATATATAAAAATTGTTTAATGGAATTTGTATGTTCTTTAATACAGATGTACAGATTAACTAAATTTATCAATACAATACAATATAATACAATACAATAAAGTTTAACATTATACAACGCTCTAGCAAAATATATAGACAAGAAACAACTGAACATTTTGGATTTGCAACAAAATTCAAAAGGAGAGACTAGATATAAGTTCATTGCCTCATCTTAAAGATGCAGAATATTTCGGTCTTGACAGGTTATATGTGTGTGATGAAAAAGAGGAGTACACTATTTAAGAGTAAATCTTAAAGTGCAAAGTAAATAAAAAACAATAACACTTGGATACTTTTCGAGATAAATATACAATGATAGAAAAAAGTAAAATAATCTCTTATCTGCTAAATAAATAATATAAATATATGATTTGATATTTTTTGTGATGAAATGTACATAAATAAAGATTTATACACAATTTAAGAGAAATTGTTAATAATATTTCCTTTTAAAGACAAAGTATCATTTTTTTAATAAATGTGAAATATTTTTTTTTAAGAATAAGGTAATAAAATAGTTTAAAACTTTATGATTATTGGCCAATGGCAAAAATATCTTCGCTCATATCTTAATCGATGCTTGCGAAGCACTCTTTCAAAAATATTGACGCTAAAATTAATAGTTACGTAATTTTTTTGATTTTAATGAATGAACTGCTTTTTCTGCAAAACGTTCTTTACATAACCTTTGTTACACACTGGTGAAAATTTGAAAATTACATTGGGAAACAAAGCAAGTTTCGATTAATTATCTTTACTTTTCATGAAAATAGATGTAAACCATTAATTTAAACCATATGAAACGTATACAATGGTTTTATTAATATACTCAGATGAATTTCATTATAACCAAAAACGTCAAAATTTATCCATATACTGTGTTACGCTCTTTCATAATACATGAATGTGTTTATGCTTAATTCCTTAATTTCACTTTGTACATAGAACTAGTATACGGTATAAGTCTTTTAAGTATTAAAAACTTGAAACTTTAATGTAATATTATATATATTTGATTCCATACATGAAAGAATGTTATGCGTAGTTAAACATGCAATACAAATAGTGTTAGCTTGTTTAGAAAAATAAGGAAATATGAGGAAATGACACAGATAAGAAAAAATACTATCACATAAGATAGCGAAGGCGTGTATTAATGAAATAAATCAACCTCCTTAGAAGCATTCAAATATTTGAGAGTCCAAAGTATGTCAGTTATCTAAATACTCTAGCAGCATGGCGGCAATTGTTTGCGGAATGAAAAAACAACATCATTTGCATAAAGATATTTGAAACTATTCTAAAAATCATTTACGAAAGAAATGCTCACTCAAGTTTAATGAGTACGGTATGTGCCATTTATTATTATTGTTAAACTTAGCGTTAAAGGTAAATTCTAATGGATATTTACAGAAATTTCGTTTGGATCTGTGAGTTATTTATTGTTTATGTGAACTAAATTATAAAATTAAAAGGAATTATGACAAAATGAAAACTTATTTTGATCTTCATCCGTTCTCTCACTACATACCATTGGATGGGCATAATGTCACTTTAACGTATTATTTTGAAAATGAATGCAGTAATAATAATAATAATAATAATAATAATAATAATTATAATAATAATAATAATAAATAAATAAATAAATAATTAAATAATAATAACATTACACATTAAGACATATACAGATTGTTACACCATATCAAAAACTTATTATCCGGAAAATAGAAAGAAAATACGCTTTAAGAAATAATATATACTCATAAAAAGTTTTTTGAAAGAGCTTCATCCGTTGTTTTTCCTTCAACGAAGGTCTAACGTGTACTCCGAGGTATTCGTTATTTAACGACAGTTTCGTTACAATTTCTGATATAACGAACGTTTTGGGTTAGAGGGCAAATTACTAACTAGAGCTTAACCAAGGCTTAACGATGATCGTAACTCTAACGAATGCTTCTGGTTACTCACCCCAGGTTGTTTGCTCACCATTGAAAGATGCATCCCACCAGGTATCGAGATAATCACAGACTTTACTTAACAATAAAGTATGTGGGTAAATTTTTTCAGCATTGCGTAATTATGTCAGTGCATTTTTAATAATCATTACTTGTATAAAAAAAATAGAATTTTCCATGACTCACAAAAAACTCAATATAAATGCCATTATGGCTGAACCAACATCATTAAAATTATTCTGGAAGAATATATACTGGTAATGGACAATCATCAAACATGGATGGCCACAAATATGGCCAATTTAGTTTTTTCTGTGTTCAGTGGCTGTCAATCATGTTCATTTACATATCATCTTCGGACAAATGGCAGTATATTGTCAAAAAAAATAAATATATATATATATATATATATATATATATGTAGGGTGTTTTTATGAATTTCACATTTATTTTTGACAATATACTGCCATTTGTCCGAAGATGATACATGTATGTATAAATGAACATATTAAATATGTATAATGCATATATAATCAAGCCACAGGTTCATTGCAGCCCGAAAAGTATGTCAAGTTGATGGACGAGGCAAGACATGTTGATTTTTTGTAGCTTATTATGAAGTTGCAGTACATGAAAAACGGGCACATGACAAATCAGCTCATAAATAAAACATTCTAGTGTTCCGTGGTTTACATGTTTTCTAAGTGTCATCCATCCTTTCCTTATTACAATGAAATTTTACATGATTTATCCATTGCTGGTTTGTTTTAAGCAGTAAATAAATGACCTGTGCATAAGCAAATAGGGTACCGTTTCAGCAGATTTCGCAAAGAGGGTAGTCGGTACCGATATGGATATGCACCGTGGATCCAGTTCATTCTATGAGAAAATGTAATAAGACATCATTACTGAACTTGTATATTTTTTTATTTAAAAAAGGCTGTAAGGTTGGCATCAACAGTATGTATACGCTAGATGTAAATAACTCACCTCCAAAAAATATAACAAAAAAAATGGGTCAAAACTGTCTTGGTAGGAAATGGTTTGAGGGAAGGAACTGCTAAACTTAAAATTTGATAAGGTCAATTCAGTACAAAAAAACTTTACCCGATAATGGCCGATTGCTGGGACATACGATAACTATATGTCCCAGCTGATTGCGAAGAAAATTTGTTAAAAAAAACAGCTTTTGGTTGCAACTTAAATATCAACGTTATGAAATATAAACAATGAACGTCAGTCATCTTGAATAACGTTGTATTTTTGTAAGCAGCCAGAATCGCCGAATATGTTCCTGCAACGATTTGACGACGATTTCGCCGATGTTAAATGCAAAACAAGCAAAGTTATTCAACAGTTAGGTAAAAGGGAGATAAGGTGTTAGTAATATAAATATTACAACTCGTTTTAACACGTGGAACTTCTTGATTAACAGCAAAACTTCTCAATCTTTCACGGATGAACATGTAAACAATGGCGATTCCGGGAAAATGACGCTAGGGCGAAAATAGTTCGTATTCATACGCATGCAATGTTTTTCTTAAATTTACACTTATGAAGCATTTTAAGCTTTAAAGTTAGCTGATCTGAAATCCGTATTCCATTAATTTCTAAATTTTTGAGTTCTAAGACACTTAATTAACTTGTGACTACATGTAATTTGTACTATATTTATGCAAGTACTTTGGCTACCATCGACCGCTGGTGTAGTAATATTAAAATCGCGTAAAGCAAAAATATACATACAATTTTAAAAAACGATTGCAAAATTTAGTACATAATTGGCCAGTTAATTTTAAAATAGACAGGGAACTATGATTTTTGGAGTTACTGCGAAGTTTTGGAACTATTTTGCTTAGCGTAGGTAGCTGACTAATTGTGGTCATATCATAGTACATTGTGTAAATCTGAATTTGTCGTTATTCCTTTGGGGGCGCATTGCGCATGCGCCCCCAAAAAGAAGAACAATCATTTAAGTCGCGGGCAGCCTGCCTCTGAGACATGTCCCATCTCCTTTTCATCTGGTAAGGTGTTAGCCGCCTTTTAGATTTTGATTCATTATATTTAATGCATTTATAAACAAACGCTGAATTGCAAATTTTCAGCAAGAGCACAGAAATTCAGACAAAACCTTGATTTTCCAGGTCATTGCGACCTAAATAGCTCTATTTGCTTGCCTGTTTTTATCTCGTCGTTACCTGGCGGTCTTACTGCCTTTCACGGATTACTATCCCTGCAGTACTTGACAATTACCCAGCAAGTGACCGACTTCATACGGTGGAGAAAAAGCCCACTATGTTGACTATCTGCCAATTGATTAGGCCAACACTTTTTATATATAATACGCCTCGGTGAAGCGCTTTAAAAATACATTAACTAAACCTTTTCGGGGAGCTAATGTAATAATCGCACCGTTGTCTGTCAAGTACTTTTATATCGTTTTTCAATTATTAACTAAATAGTTTTTGCAGTATATTCAGTTCAATCTCAAAACTATATCTACTATACATAATCAATAACAAACTATCATATATAATATCATGGATTTTATATATTTATACAATAAAATGTGATAAACTATTTTAATAATCCTTTGCTTTTTTGAATTTTTGACAAATAAAGGGAGGCTATAAATTTAGAAACAGAGTTATCCTGAAGTATCTTGAGAAATGTTGATAGAGTTATAAGTGATTAAACATTTATATGATGAACAGATCTACTAATATTTTAGTCTATAACATGTTCTATACATGTATATATTATAGATATGTAATATCGGATCATGTACCACATACCAACAATTAACATTGATATAATTGTTTTACATAGTACACTAAATACTATCAACATAATCATTATGATATCTGTTTTACAGATCTCCCATTATAAAGTATGGACCAAATCAATTTAAGAAACCCTACTAGCGCTGGGCCTCTTTTGATACAAAGTGTAATAGTTTTGGGTTAAGACTTCTCGATGTTTGCAAATCCTCCTGCGTGAGAATTGTTAACGGTAGAATTGGCAATGATCAAGGTTTATTTACATATGTGTCCCGTAACGGTGCGTCGGTGGTGGATTATCTATTATGTAAAGAATGTAACTTTTCTAATATCACGTGTTTTACCGTTAAATCTATGAATGAATGGAGTGACCATGCACCAATTACATTTTCACTCAGTTGTAATAATGTTATCGACTATGATGATGATATATATGTTTCTAAATATAAGTGGTCACAGGTACATAGGGATTCATTTAGAGCCAGTCTTATTGGCCAATTGCCACTATTAAATCAATTAGTACATGGTATTGAACCAACAGAAAATTGTATAAATGAAGTTGTATCAGGGTTTACGAATATTGTTAAAGATGCTGCTGACAAATATTTTTTGAAAACTTATAAAGAATCAAAAACAACATGTTTTATAGATTCGCCTTCTGTTAGTAACGCTGAGTGGTTTGATGGAGAATGTGTTAGCGCTAGAAACTGTTATCTAGAGGCTTTAAGGGTTTTTAACAATTGTAAATCAAATATTAGTAGAATTCATTATTGTGATTGTAAACAAAAGTAGAAAAAGTTGATACAAAAAAAAAGAAAACTCAGTATAAGATTAGAAAATTAGAAGAAATTGAAAAGCTTTTTGGAAATATATTAAAAAGAAGAACTTTAAGTCAGCAAATTTAATTACGCAAGATGAATTTTTCATTTTTTTTTCAAAACTTGAAGGCGACATTTTTTCATGTCAAAATGACGAAGCTGAACAGTTTAGTGGTACTCATGATTTCGACAGTTGCTCTGTTGATGTCGAATTTGACCGCCCAATATGTTCTGACGAATTATGAAAGCTGTTGGAAAATTGAAAACAAATAAAGCGTATGGAAATGATTGTCTTTTAAAGAAACTATTGATATTTTGATGCCGTACATATGTGATATTTTTAACATTATTTTAGAATCTGGAGTATTTCCAGAAAAATGGAAAGAAGGAATTATTATACTCATTTACAAGAAAGGTGATAAAAATGACGTCAATAATTATAAAGGTGCCACACTGTTAAGTTGTTTATCAAAGCTATTTACATCAGTATTGAATAATAGAATCGTTTCTTTTTGTGAAATAAATCAGGGAATAACAGATGCACAATTTGGTTTTAAAAAAGGTAGTTCAACTATAGATGCAATATTTTCTTTATACACTCTAATTGAGCATTATCTTAATCATAATAAAAGGTTGTACGTAGGTTTTATCGACTTAAAGAAATGTTTTGATTCTATATACAGAAACGCACTATGGCTTAAGCTTTTTAAATCCGGAGTCCAAGGTAAAGTTCTTAGAATAATTAAAGATATGTATGATGTTGTAAAGTCATGTGTTAAACACTGCAATTCTTTTTCTGAGTTTTTTGAATACTCTATTGGATTAAGACAAGGGGAGATAATGTCACCAGTTTTAGTATCATTATTCCTCGACGATATAGAATTATTTTTACAGGATAGTATAAACAGCGGTTTGTTAATAGATGACATAGTTATTATTTTATTGTTATTTGCTGATGATATGGCTATTTTTGGAAAAACACCTGAAGAATTGCAGCACAATCTTGATTTACTATATAGCTATTGTACTAAATGGAGCATTGAAGTTAATGTGTCAAAAACAAAAATTATGGTATTTAGAAAAAGAGGAAGATTAAAAAGAGATGAAAAATGGACATATAATGGCGCAGACATTGAAGTTGTAGACAGTTTTAATTATTTAGGAACGTTATTTTCATACAATGGTAATTTTGACCTTAATAATGAATATTTATCTGGCAAAGCATTAAAAGCTTTAAATGTGTTATTATATAATTGTAAAAAATTACCGCTACGATTAAAAGTACTCTGTCAATTGTTTGACTCTTTTGTAGGTTCGATATTATTGTATGGCAGTGAAGTATGTGGTTTTAGCAAGTCTAAGGAAATCGAACGGTTACATTTAAAGTTTTGTAAACGTATACTTAAAGTACCTATTAATTCGAGCAATAATGCTGTATATGGTGAGCTTGAGCGATATCCTTTGTATATTTTACGTTATTGTAAGATTATTAGATTTTGGTGTAAAATTGTTAATTCTGAAAATATTATTGTTAATAAATTGTATAATTTAGCGGTGCAAGATAGTTTAGAAGGTCATACGAATTGGATAAGTCGAGTAAAAAAGATTCTAGACGATTATGGATTTTCTAATATTTTTGTAAATAGTTTATGATAGTTTATCTTTAAAACATTTCCAAGTTGTATTTAAAACTAGAATGATTGATTGTTTTAAACAAGAATGGTTTGGAGCAGTTAGCAGAAATGGTATCCTTGATGAATACACACATTTTAAAAGATCCTTTACATATGAAAACTATTTAGACATAGTACCCTTTAATTTAAGATTTTTCATTACCAGGTTACGTATTTCTGCTCACTCTCTTCGCATTCATACCGGAAGATTCGGGGAAAATAGAATACCTAGACATGAACGAATTTGTTTAAACTGTAACTTACATGACATAGAAGATATTTACCACTTTGTATGTATATGTCCTTGCTATCGAAATCTTAGAGTAAAGTATGTCAATGATAATATATATAAAAGACCATCTGTATTCAAATTTTATGAATTGTTAAACAGCAATGACAAAAAAGAACTATGTAATTTAGCAATGTACCTAAAAGAAGCTTTTAAACATAGAAATAATATAAATATGGTAGTACAATAATGTCACGTGCAAATTGTGTTTTATGGAGTCCGTTACACCATGTGTATTTACTATGATAAGTTGTATTGTAATATACTTTCACTCTCCTGTTATTTGTAGATCAGTTTATATGAAAATAAAATTGTATTGATTTGAAACGCTTTAATCATGTGCAGAATATTTAGTTGTTAAATATATATGTGTTGAAGATGATGTACTATGTACAAGTCTGAATAAAGATATGTTCTGTTCTGTTCTGTTCTGTTCTGTAAAGAGCACAATTTACACAAAAAGTACTAGTAGACAGTACCCACCCATGGAAACAAGAAAAATATTACATACATTCGTATGTAATATAGGTACGATTGCATACTACTTTTTGTGAAGACTTTTATGTTTGCTGCATAATATATGTGTAATGTAAAATGAACAAACATGTCATGAGATATTTTATATCTTTAAACATTTTCATGGAATGTAATTAATGTATCATCATATTAAAGTTGCATGCCTTCAGATGAGAAAAATGATTTCAAGGAAATCAAAATATGAAAAGAAAATTCACGGTCAATTGACTGCTTTGAAGCATAATCACAGAATAAAATTACAGGAAATTAAAAACCTTTTTAATACACTTAAGGTAGAATTTCATTGTAAGTCATAGTCACAGATTTGAGATATGATTATTTATTCATATTAACATCATTATTAGTTATATATTGATAAAAAAAACCCGAAAGACACAGTTTGTAAATATTTATAACAATAAAATATGAAAAAGGTATTTTCCATCCTATGCGACGCGCCGAGGTTAGCTATATTTATAATTCTCGCGCTAAGTCGCGGTGGAGCTTGGGATAATCACTTGATACTGTAAATGGCAGCCATTTTACGATACGAAAATGCCTGGCCCTCCTCGGACAGTTTATCCTGCCGAAAAGATATGAAAAAATACTTGCAATTCAAAGTTTGTTTGCTACATAAAGATTATCGATTTACTTTTTGCACCTGATTGTAATAATATTGATGTGTTTTCATTGGCTTAAACCATCACGTTATCAATACACATAAAAATGTGAACTAATTTCGTGTTCATTAAAATTATTCCGTTAACAGAATTATAACAATCTTATTAGTCG